GTACCAACACTCCTCTGGATGCTCCCGGGAGAGCTGTGCATCTAATCAATGTGTCAGGGTCTAGTAATAAAGACCAGCACAGAACGCACATCATTGACACAAATTCATAAATGGGTTCACCTCGTTCCCGTCCGTGCCTCTCCCTCGCCCAATCTTCGTGGGCATCGCCCGAACCTCGCTGTTCACCTTCTTCTCTCCCACTCTCCCGCCGTCAAACCTGCTGGAAATTGTGTCTTGTTTGCGGCGTCAAGTGCTCTAAATCTTGCCCATCAGTGCCAGTTCTCCTCATCTGAAACTTGGATCTACGCTACAATGTCGGGCAGCGTTGTGGTATCTCCTGCTTCCGGGTTGAACTTCGTTCGTGATGGACCGTCGACGTTGACGGTTACCATTCGGAACAAGAATATAGAGGCAGTTGCTTTCAAAATACAGACTTCGGCTCAAAGCGTTGGTGTCTCCTTGCCATCGTTACTGAATGTACTCACTGCGCATTAGTCTTATTACGTCCGTCCAAATAAGGGCATCCTCGAACCCAAGCGGTCTATCGACGTGTCCGGTACGTTTGCCACCCTCAAGTAGAAATTCCGTCAACTAATTGTCAATGACGTGCAGTAACATTCCATGGATCGACTCAGTCACCCGCAGCAGACGGACGTGAAGATAGATTTGCAGTGCTTAGTATGCTCATAACGCCAGACAAGGAAAACATAGCTCTCGACGACCTCGTAAGTCTCATGAATTTCCCAGTCTACTAAACTCATGAGTGCTCACACTGATGCTATCAAGTGGCACGTATATCCAACTCAAATTCGTCGAAGGCTTTTCGTCTCGACCTACTACACGTATGGCCACGAGCGGGGCAAAGATTCAGCCATGAAGAAGGAAAAGCAGGAGCGAGTGCGGAGAATAATTGCGAACCCTGTAAGAGTCCCTTAAATTCATCATTTGGACATTTCTGATAGTTTTCCTCTTTTCATCAGAGTGATACTCGTTCGAGTCGCGACACCACTGATTCACGAATGCACACTGCAGAGCAACCGCCCAGTCTTCCAGTAGAGCCTCCGAACAATGATGTCACCCCTTCACTCATTCCAATGCATAACATCACCAGTGACAGCCTCCGCTCTTTGGACAGTCGTACGCCTGCACCGCCATACGAAGCTGTGTACAACGATGATATTCTCAATGAGCCCTCCAGCCCGGCACCCCATTATAGTCCCCCCTTAGTATCCGTTGAACCGCGTCGCGCTAGTGTCAGTGGGGATGGCCTATCTCCAAGCATTCGTCCTCTTCCCCCAGTCCCCGTTAGAAGATCTTCGTATCCACCTCGTAGCACTTCACCAAACACTGAAGCACTGATAACGGAATTGGTCACGGTCTTTGACGAAACATTTGCGAATATTCAAAGATTGAAATTTGTTTTGGATTCCATTCCGTCTTCACTCTTGGATAGCAGGCCCTATTTGAGGCCCTACGTTGCTCGAGCGCAGGGTAGGGTCTCAGAAGCTCGTGTCTGATATTCACTTCATCCACGCCGTGTCATTGATGCTACCACACGATGAACAGCTTGCCTTGGAAACGCGTCTTCACGAGCTTCATGTTCCCTCGATTCCTCATTATCATTATTCTTTCCCGGACTTTATGGCTCTTTTCTGTTATTCGACATGTCACTGGTGACTTGACAATTTATATGGTAGACGCGGGTTGATCTTTCGTCCGTCCGTTATTCGTTTCTGTCAGAAAGGCTCTTAGGATCAGACGAATTCGCCGTTGCATTAATTTGTACAGACCTTTATTGTTGTATTTGATGCTGTGTTCACTAGTATAGTTTTCACTTCTCGAAACCATGATGTTTACACCACCTTCAAGAACATATTCTCGTGGGTGCTTGCCACAGATGCACCCGGGGAAATCCGCCTGCTGATCTTGGCCTTCACTGAACTCTATGCGCTAGGTTTGCACCCATTGATTGTCGCCACTCTTTGAGAACTAACATGACGGCTAGGCTCTCGTATCTCAATGTATAGCGAATCTATTAAGCGTAAGGCTATTCTTGGAATTGGGGAGTCGTGCGAAGCATGCCAACCACGTCTCGACGCGAGTCACGAGTTTGTAGGCGTTGTGTACAATCTTCTTAAGTAACGCCTCAAATCTCACCCTTTTGTTTGTTTGAAAGGAATAGGAGATGGGGCGTTCTGTAGTAGAGCGTGACTCCTTCCTTCTCGCATTCACTATCAACAACTCTCCGCCCGTCATCTCTTTGGAAAGTCCACAATGTTCGACAAAACTAGTTCTACGAGCGTGGCTTCGACTGGCGATGCTATGGATATCTGCCCAAACGTGTCAAGGAAAGAGATCTCAACCACTTCCTTGGACACACCATACGCCTCCATGGTTAAGACCACCGACAGGGCGCAATCTCAGGCTGAGGCTGCATTCCCCGATTACTTGAATTGCATTCTTTCTTTGGGACCAAATTTCCTGCCTGTGGATCGCGTCCGCTTCAGAAGGGGCATTCCCTCTGGAATCTCTGTCAAAACGCTCCATGCGGAGCGTTCGGGCGTTCCACTCGTTCTTGAGGGCGTCCACGAGGAAACCGAATGGGAAGCAGATGTCTTTTGCGTGCAGGAGCTACTGCGAGACCAAGGAAAAACTCGTACGTTGCAATGCTGAGGATTTCATCCCTTGCTGATAACAACGCTGTCTATCCTTCACAGCCGTGGAGACTCAACTGAATGAAACACACAAGATAACGACGGCAAGGGGGTGGCTCACCGAATGTGCATACTGCGCGACAGCTGGATGTCCCTTGCGACAAGGTTGAGTCCATTCTTCAACTATGCTTCTCGTATCCTCAATCTTCGTTACCAGACACTCTGAATATTACATGCCCATCCCGATGGCGCGAATGGTTGGGTTCGGATGCATTGCCGCAAGAGATTATTCCTTGCGGTCCCAATGATTTACTGGACTGTGTTCCTTCACAGGTAATTTCTAGCGTTCGTTGACCATTCCGGCTCAACCCTCATTATCTCGACTGTAGTTTCTATCTATAGCCCCAACATGCGACATCAGACTCGGCAATTCTGTTTCCTACATGGATCGTTCTGTCACAGTCCAACACCATCTCATGGTTTCCTCGGAACCCAGGGCTTCGATTATCTGGATCATCGTTCCGGTCTCCTCGGCGGATTCTCTCGTGCAGTATTGTCGATTGAAAGGCGAAGAGCTTGATCTCGGAAAAACTCGCGTATCAATCGAAGATTTGGTCCACGCGAAATGTCAGGTTTACGTTACGGAGCAAAAGTTTGGCGACCTTCTCCTTGTACCCCCGAACTGCTTCCATCAAGCACTCAATACTAACGGAATGACAATTAACATCGTGTGGTCGCGGATGACTATTGCTGGCATCAAATTCTCTCTTCATAGTCAACTGGACATTTACCGCCGGTAAGACGTTCTTGGAGCTTCATTCATGTTCTTGACATGCTTGTTAGAGTCTGTCGTCCTGACTCACTTCGGATCAAGATTGTGACCTTTTTTGCCACGGAAACATTGGCTGCAAAACTGTCTGCACCGGAGTCGGCCTTCTATATGGAGGAGAAGGACGAGTTGGCCCTCCTCTTGACCTTCTTGAAAGAAGTTCTAGTGGAGGAGTGGTCTTCTGAGTGTCAGAAAACGCCATGTGCTGGCCTTCCCTGGCTGTTCAACCATGGTGGTGGCGTAATTGGGCTGGCTGAATCAGCCAGCTGCCTTTATGACTGCTCCTTCTGTGGTGCTTCCATCTTTCAGTCTTTCTTCCAATGCACTGGTGGCTGTATCTTGCCCAGCAAAAGAAATACTCTTCCTCTTTTTTGTATTGGGTGTGTTGCAGAGGGGAGGTCCTGCAAATGTGGACAATTGATGCCAATGCAATGCTGCAACTTTCAAGAACTCTTGAATGTGTACAATCTGGCAGCTTCTTATCTGGACATTTTGCCAATCAATGATATGTAGGCACTGTTTTCAGTAATGTTGACTGATCTGATCTATATCCAAAGGGAATTATCTGTCTCCAATCACTTGCATATCTTTACTGCAGCATGCAAGTTGATCTCTGCACCCAGGACACTTCATAACAGTTGTGGGATAAAGCGCAAACATGCTCATCATGCTCCCAATGAATTGATTGCCTGCCCTAGTTGCCACTGGGGAGCTTGCTTCAACCATCTTTTGGACATTGGAGTTCATTCAGCAGAAGCTATCTTGAGGACAACAAACTTGACTGGTGGAATAGAGTGGCATAAATTCCATTGCAAACATGGGGATACATCCAGATTCAGATACCAGTTGGCAATGCAGACAAATCCTGCTTGTCTTGAAGATCATATTCCAGAAGTCAGGCTTTGCATAATAGGGTCAAGGTATCAGGGTTGCAAACAAGAGGCCAGGCATGAAGGATTGAAGCCAGGGTTTTATGATAATCCTGACCCCAAATTTGTGGGTCTTCTCTTTCCTATTTCTGCACAACTCACTGAGTTCTTTTTCATCAGTTCAAGACATTCCCAATGAAAATAACCAAGCATTGACTCGCTTCAGAAAAAATTAGGCCAGGTTTTATAGCCTAAATAGCATAAATAGCCTATTTTTTTGGCTATTTTTCTGCTAAATAGCTGAAAAATAGCAGGAAATAGCAGAAATAGCAGCTAATTTTTTCTGAAGCGGAGGATGCTTCATAACTTACAATAAATGTGTAAAACTTGCAAAGATGCTTTGTACTACAAATATTCTGCTTAAATGTCATTTCTTGCAATAAAAGCCTTCAGCTTGCTATAAGAATAGGAACATAGGTTGCATGGCAGCATTCCACTATGAAGTACCTTACTTGCCACCACTCCAATCAGCAGCAAAGTTTGCCTTCTGATGCCCTGAAAAAAATGGTACAAGGTCCAAACTTCTCTCCCTGTCTAGAAAATTCATTTCCCCTGAGAAAAAAGCGAAAATTAAACTTCGAAAAGGAATGATTGAGCTGAGAATTGAACTCAGAACCTTCTGTGTACATGCGGAGTTCGAATCGGAGTTCAAACTATCCGTGTTAGACAGAAATCATAACCGCTAGACCACTCAACCGATATGAGAGAGGCCCAATTAAAATATAAGACCTGTTGCTCTCTCCAAGCTAAAACCTTTTTATCCAATTCTACATATTGACATTACCATAATTCCATGCTCCCAGCACAAAGCTCAAGATAGGGCGACGATGTTCTGGGTCGTCAGTGGGGCGGCATGAGAGAGAGGCTAAATCGGGGCGAGCCGATCGGAAACCGGAAGGAGCTCTTCGTTCCGCGCGCGTCGTCTGCGACTCGGAGTCTGTCCCAGTAGTACTCATGATAGCCCTCGCGCTCTGCTTAGGCCTAGAGGAATGGGATAGCTTTCGGAACAGTCATGCTCAGCTCTTAACCTTTCAAACAGTGTTTGGGGAGGGCTCGTCGAGTCTGACAAATCTCTCACTGCGATACATCTCCTTCTAACACATTTTCTTGTTGCAGTTACATGATCTTCCTCCGTTAATACAGTACGCTCGGCGGAAAATATTCATGACCTGGATCAGAAATCTCGCGAGTCAATGATCTTCGAGTCAGCTCTAGGGTATCAACGTCTGCCCGGTTGTCCACCTGCCGAACTATATTTCTGCCTTCCCTCACAATGGTTGATAGCTTCAAGACAGTGATTCATCACCGTCCCAATACGAATAACAAGTTGACTACAAGATCTACTAAGGCTACCCTCCGGATCTCTCAAACAGAGTGAGAGGATGGCTTGACTAACGATTGCATACTCTCGTGTGAGGAACAAAGATACATATCCTTGCGCTCGCCCATGGTACATGTGCGTTTCCCCTGACCCTGCTGAGGTTTCCTCACTTTTCCCGATATCTTTGACTGACACATGTTCAGACCCGTCGACTCGAAAGAATATAACTTCAACTACACAACGGTCTCGAGTAGTAATCGTTCACGATACCTCCTGGATGCCACGAATCCCTAAGGGTCCTCCATGCAGACTGTTCTCGTCCAGGAACGGGCCCATATTTTTTTCGTGCTCATGGCTTCGCACGGCTTCCAGACTCCCCGCCAAACGTCCTTCCCCGATCTGACATCCGCTGTGTCTCCTACGAACCCATAGCCTCCATCAAGCTTTTGTCCTTCAAGTTGAACCTCCTGATAAGCCAGCATCCGTGTGGCCTTTTGATACTTGCCTGTTCCCGCGGCGAATGCTTGGGCAGATGAAGACAAGTAACTCTGGCAATAATATCTACTATTCGCTCTCCATATCCGTTAGCGCAGAAAGGGGAAATTCCTGCGCACATACGGCGTTCAGTCACTTGAATCAATGGATGGGTGCAGATTTTGTTTCCTCGACGCCTCGAACTCGACCGACCGATTGCAAGATATATCGGTATGCCGTTAGCCGTTTTATACGATACTCCTCGGCATGGATCCAGCATAGCCTTCAGTGCTGCGCCTTCTCGCCTTCTCCCTAGAATGTTCTTGCTTGCGATGTGCTCCTGCTTGGCTGCCGTGCTAAGAGACGGGGTTGTTATCTTGTCGCACATTGGAAGCGTGCGCTGCTTTGAATGCGCCTTTCTCCTCATTGAAGGCTACGTGAGAATCCTTTGACGATTTAGTCCTCTTGCGTCTCGATCGTGACCGCTATACCGGCCTCCTCAAGCAGGAAAATTGTCTATTCGATTTCCGCAAGTGATCTCATCCTGTATGTCACGATCCGATGAGCGCAATCAGGGAACAGCGGGGTTGGTGCGCCATATTAATCACCTCGTTCAACCTGCTCCATCAGGACGTCTTTCTCGTGATTGCATGCCTGAGCTCGGAATGCGACCTGATGGATTCGTCGCCGATGGATTCGAACTAGAAACCCATCTACAACATCAAATACACATGAGGCATGCAATGCTCGACTATTGCGTGAGTCCAGACGCGTTCTCCACGCAACTTCAATGTGAATCCTAATCTACGTACAGAATTATCATTAACTCGTCATCAATTGAGTAGAAGGGTGGATATAAGACATGGCGTGTACTATACAAAGGCATTTTCATGGTTCTGCACATGGGACACAAATACATCTAATTTTCTATTATTGCGATGCGGGGAACAGTACAAAAGCCCAGAAACAACATGGCGCAATCAATGCTTGGAAACCAGGTGAGCCCGGGGTATCGAGTTCGGCAAATTTTTGGGGTGAGATAAACATCGGCCTTCAATCTCTTCAAATATGAGATGATACGCATTGTGTAAATGATTGAGTAATTCTTGAAGGACCGAGTCAGTGAGAAGAACATCGGCATCAGCAAGAGTCTTACGCAAGTATGCATGAAAGATATGGAGCAGCCGGTGGAAAGGAATCTTGACAGTGTTGAATCTGGGTGCAAGCATTAGCCAGAGGGCGCGAGAATAGATGAAGGCTCACGAGGCACGATTGGTAGTCGATGTTGCCCCGTAGCTTGTCGAAGAGGGGTCAACAACTGGAACCGCGAGCAGATGACGCGCGATCTCCCAAGCCTAGCTATTGCATAGCCCAGACAGTCCTGTCTGACGGCAACCAGAGCTCTCAAGGCCGAATACCGTCACTCGACCCATCGCCCTCCCTTACGAGATGACGACAGAGTGAGAATATTTGCTGGTGGCTTTTAGCCCGTCCTTTCTTTCATCCGCCCCTACCGGGACGACGAGCTCACAACCATGACACAGCCTCCTGATGTACAGGAAGTGGTACAGAGTTGAGGAGATGCTAAGGGAAGTTAGTCTACGAGATGCTGAGCGAAAGACCGACATACCTGACCCTGTCCACGCCGGGATGGATCAGAGAAAACTTGAATGCACATCCTTAGTCTAGCTCTTGCTTAGCCCAGACAAACCGGTCTGACGACAATCAGAGCTCTCAAGGCCGAACACCTTCACCTGATCCATCGCCCTCTCTTGCGAGCTGACGACAGGGTGAAGACATTTGCTGGTGGCTTTTGGCCCGTCCTTTCTTTCATCCGCCCCTACCGGAACGACGAGCTCACGACTCAGACACCGCCCACTGGGTAGTAGGTAGTGACTGAGTGAGGAATGGAGTCAAGTTGCAGAACAAGTGGTTTTGGCGGACTCCGTAGTTTTGTAGACCGTCCAGACTTTTCATTGTCCGCTTGAAATCCAGAAGCTGTAGGGGATCGAATATTCCATATTTTGGTGCATGAAGGGAATGAGGCCGGTGATGTGTGAATGCTCGATCCGAATTATTGCTAGTACTACAGCAGCGAAATGGAGGTTTGAGCGCTCGGGCGGAGGCAACTGATGCCGAAGTCCGACACGGTTTCCGCATCAAGGAGGACAAGCGCCGCCATCTTCTTCCCCTTAGTTGCCATATAGTTCGCTGCAATCTGAGTACAGTACCGGTACTATTGCTTGACGGAGTTCTCGAGCCGATCCAAGCTCACCAAATTTTTTGAACAAATTTCATTGCCCCCTTTGGCTTAAAATAGCTGAACGTTGCCATTTCAAGCTACATCGGTGAAGAAACTGGAAGAAGCAGTGACAACTTGAAGAGCTGGTGTCGGATCACAAAGACAAGAGAGATGCTGTGAAATACATGTTTTATCTATCAAAAACTGATTAGGAAAGCGAACGAATTGTATCCCGCAAGATTTACAGAATGGAGAGATAACATTGTTTGGGGATTTGACTATCGCGTTCAATACCGCGATTGAACAAGTAGGCACTTCACTTCGATATGACGGACGTTTAACGACGAGACTAAGGATCAAACGGAGCAAAAATGTTAAGACCACGCGTCTTTCCTGCAAATGTGGTAAAAGGGAACGCTTTTGATCTGCAAGCCAGTCCCTGCTCTTAAATCCGCCGGTAGAAAAGAAGTTCTCCTTGACGATGGATTCCGTTGGATCTTTGCATATTCCTCAGTTGAGGGCGGAGGCAAATAATCCAAAGCAACTCTCCCGTCCAAGCTCACGTCCGTCGCGATCTATTAGCGATTCAGTAGTGTAGAGAATACTGCAAAATCTTAATACTCTACGAAAGAGATAAGATGGCATCTCGAAACATTTGGAGGACTTGGATATAATATGTATCTTCACCGAGTGAAAGTTTCATGGAATTGCGCTGAAAATGGCACCGAAACATATAAGCAGACAACTGCTTGATGACACCCGCATACTTCCGAGACGTCTCGTCATAGTAAATCACAGGCTCATCGTCCTTTTCCGCTAGATGAAATAGGAGGGAAGTTTTGCGATTTCCGAGCCAATCTTTGCTGGGAATTCCGCCCGGAGGGAGAAGGCTATTTCTTGTCAGGCCTTCGGCTGATCGTTCCCAGACGCCGTACTCGTCACTTGAGGATGAGGGAGGATTGACCCAGAATGCGGTGACGATCAGAACCCAGACGAAAGATTCCAGATCGTCAAAAACCACAGAACCGTCTCTAAATCCAAGTGTCAATAACAATGCAGACATAAAAATCGCCGTTCCCTATGGATAGATTAGCGTTTTGTTAAATGAGTCTCATAGCGAATGCTTACTCTCTCCTTCCCCGGAAGAGCTTTATGTGCAGCCGCATAGGGTCCTATCTCAGAAACTAAGATCGAGTTATCAAAATCGGTTAAAATTGCCGTGCACTGATTCTGGAGTGGTGGAATCGGCAGGCTACTCAATCATTGATCCGCAATAATGGTGGTTGTAAAGAGATTCCATACCTTAGATAGTTGCGAAAGTGTGATGCTGGAACCGGGGACGGCAAAACGAGTATATTGCCATAGCTCACATCACGAGGAATGTACCCAGCCTTGTAGAGACCCCAGTGGCCTAAAGGATGCCGCATGTCAATGAACCATCCAAGCGCTGCAAATTGAAATGAGCTCACCCAAGATGGTATCGTGAATAGCCGTGAGCACGGTCCGTGGCTCGTGCCTAAATTTAACGAGGTGTTCGCCTTTCGTCTTCGAGAGCATCCGATAATGCGTGCGACATGTGCGCACAAGATTATACTTGATTTTTTCCTCCTCTTCATAGCAATCCTCATCGTCAAAGTGACGTTCGGCGTTCTCGGGGAGT